TATTATTATTATTATTATTATTATTACTATTATTATTATTATTATTATTTGGTTTTTTGAGACAGGGCTTCCCTACATAGCCTTGGTTGTCGTGGAGCTCACTCTGTAGACCAGGCTGGCCTTGAACTCACAGAGATCTACCTGCCTCTGCCTCCTGAGTGCTAGCATTGCAGGCATGTGCCAACACCACCCAGCCATAGTAAATATTTTAAAATTTATTCACTATAGCATTTTGTGGCAGAACAAGAGACGGAAATAGACCAGCTTGAATAAAAAGAAACAGTTGCATCCAATTATGACTTGTGTAACTGAATAAATCAATATTAAGGATGGGTCCTGGACACACAAGTAAGAGGAAACAAATACAAATGGTGTGTGACTTGCCCTGACTAATTGGTTCCTTCTTTCCTTGCTTGGTCTTGATATGGTTGCCCAGGCTGACCTCCAACTCCTGATCCTTTTGCCCCAGGCTCCAGGCAGCTTGCTCTGATATGTTAATGAACCAGCCACAAAGGCAGTTCTAATATGAACCAAAGCCTTGTACTGAAAGGAATGTTTGTGTGAATAAGCATATTCAAAAGACAAATCTGTGTAGACCTCCTGATTGCCCAGTGCCTCCCAGACCAGGCTCGGTCACCAGGCCCTGAAGACCTTGCAGAGTTTTGAGGGTTCAGGAATCTAAGACAGAAGTGTAGTAGATTCCAAGTCTGGTGAGGGCTGCTTAGCTCACAGCGGTAAATCCTGTCCTCGCATGGTAGGACGGGTAAAGGGGCTCTCCACAGCTTCTTTTGGCCTGAGGGTACAGTTTAGTTGCTAGAGTGCTCATCTATCATGCTTGGAGCTGTCGCTATAGAAACCAGGCAAGGTGGGATGCACACCTGTAGTTAATCCCAGCATTTGCAAATTGGACACAGGAAACTCTGGGATGTAAGGCCACTCTCAGCTGCGTAGCAAATTTCAGGTTAGCCTGGGCTGTATGAGTCCCTGTTTCAAACAAACAAACAAAAAAGGCAGGCTAGAGGGACAAGTGGTGGACAGTACTTGCTGCTCTCACCAGGGCGTGCGAGTCTAGTTCCCAGCACCAACATCTAGTGGCTCACAATCACCTATAACTCTGTCTTTAGGGAATTGACACCCTTTTCTGGCCTCAGAGCCACCTGTACACATGTGCACACTGTGAGTTCCAGGCCAGCCTGGTCTCGGGAGCGAGTGCAGGATAGGCTCCAAAGCTACACAGAGAAACCCTGTCCCGAAAAACCAAAAAAAAAAAAAAAAAAAAAATGTGCACATAACCACATAGACACACACATACATAAATAAAAATAAAACACATCAGCCAGGCATTGGTGGTGCAGGACTTCAATCCCAGCACTTGGGAAGCAGACGTAGGCGGATCTCTGTGAGTTTGAGGCCAGTCTGGTCTACAGAGCAAGTTCCAGGATACGCTCCAAAGGAATATAGAGAAACCCTGTCTCGAAAAACCAAAATAAAATAAAATAAAATAAAATACATCTTTCATAGAAGTTTAAAACATACACAGGACTAGAGATAAGGCTCAGTGGAAAAAGGTGCTTGCTGCCAAGACTAACAACCTGAATTTGATCATCAGGATTCATGGTAGAAGGAGAGAACTGATCCCCCCCCCCCAGTTGTTATCTGACCTTTACATGCACACTGTGAAACACTTGTCTCGCCTTTCCTGGGCTGGTTCTGAACTTACACAGCTGGGGATGGTCTTGAACTCCTTGTCCTCTTGCCTTGGCCTTGCTTGCCAGGAGCCACTAGCTCAGGGAGTCCTGAGGACACTCAGTGCACTCTAGATGAGCACCCCATGGGCTGAACCACACTTCCAGCCAAGTCGCTTCACTTGATTATACTTACAATGTTCAAATATTTGAGGAAAAAAAAAATTTTGATTTTTTTTTTTTTTTTTTTTTTTTTTTTTTTTTTTTTTTTTTTTTTTTGGTGCTTGTTTGGTTTTGGAGACCGTTTCTCTGTATTGCTTTGGAGGTTGTCCTGGAACTCGCTCTGTAGACCAGGCTGGCCTCGAACTCACAGAGATCCACCTGCCTCTGCCTTCCAAGTGCTGGGATTAAAGGCGTGAGCCACCAATGCCCAGCCAAAAATTGTGGAATTCTTGGCTTACTATTTTTAGTTGTGGAAGCTTGGTGGTGGACTGTTGACAAGGAAAGTTAATTCTTTAAAAATTAATTGATCATTAACAAAAACCCAAATAGACATGGCTTTTTCTGGTCTATACACAAAACACTAGTCAGACGTAAGTTTCACCACAATCTTTCTAATAAATGGTGTTGGGAAAACTGGCCCAAAATTTACAGGAAAAGGAATGAGGAGTCGGCACACTGCCAACAAAGTTTCAGTTTTCCAAAACGGCTAAATTCTTGCCTTCGGTGGTGACACTGACACGGGTCTGTAATCTTCACTCTGTAAAGCTTAGACGCTGGGACAGGAGCACTGCTGTGAGATCAAGGCAAGCTTCCGCCATTTGACACGACTCTGACTCTAATGACAAAAGTGAAAAAGATGAAAAGGTTTGAAGATGGAATGTATACCATGTTTGGGGCTCACACTGTAACCCCCAGCACTCAGGAGGCTAAGACAGGATTGTGAGTTACTGGCAGCCTGAGCCATACACTGAGAATCTGTCTCAAAACCAAATAAATAAAAACAAAGGGTTAGATTACACAACAATGTGGATTTACTTACTACTTCTAACCGTACACTTAGGGCTAATTTAGAAAGTTTTATGTGAAGTGTTTGGTGTTTTCCTGTTTTTTTGTTTGTTTGTTTTGTTTTGCTATTTGGCTCTTCCTTCCTTCCTTTCCTTCCTTCCTTCCTTCCTTCCTTCCTTCCTTCCTTCCTTCCTTCCTTCCTTCTCCCTCTCTCCCTCCCTCCCTCTCTCCTTTTCTTTCTTTCTTTTATACTATGTAGCCCTAGCTGACCTGGAATTCACTTTGTAGACTCAGTTGGCCTCAAACTAACAGAGATCCAACTGTCTCTACCTCCTGAATGCTGGGATTAAAATCATGCATCACCATGCTCAGGTATATGAAGTATATTTAATCACAACTTCAAGAAAATTTGCTGGGATAGAGTTTAATAGTTCTCTGATATAAAGAGCTGGGCAGACTGGGTGAGGGTGAGGGCGAGCTCTCACTGTACTGTAGCTCCTCAGTGCACCAGGCAGTATGTGCCTCACGGCTGACCGGTCACTACTATTTCATGCCATTGTTATATGAGCTCAGTCAATACTGCTACAGATGGCCCAAGTCTTACTTACTTACTCTCACTTACTCAAGAGGCTGAGGCAGGAGGATCACACTCTCTAGGCCAGCATGGGCAACTTAGTGAGATTCTGTCTCAAAAGAAAATGCAAAATGGAAAGCTGAGGTGTGACAGAACAGTAGAGCCCCCGCCTAGAATCTCCCAGTGAGGGGCTGAGGGCTTGTCCCAGTGTTAGAGCCTCCGCCTAGTCTCCTCAGTGAGGGGCTGGGGAAGTAGTAATGCCTTGCCTAGCAAGAATAAGCCCAAGATTCCATCTTCAGTGATGGAAACAAAAAAGGGATGTGTCCCTTCAAAAACATGCATTAGGGCTGGAGAGATGGCTCAGAGGTTAAGAGCACCAACTGCTCTTCCAGAGGTCCTGAGTTCAATTCCCAGCAACCACATGGTGGCTCACAACCATCGGTTATGCGACCTGGTGCCCTCTTCTGGTGTGCAGATATACATGGAAGCAGAATGTTGTATACATAATAAATAAATTAAATCTTAAAAAATGCATTAATTTCCTAGTCTCAGCTACTGTGGATGTGACTTTACCTAGAAATAGAGATTGGCTCTGGTTGTGCATACTATTAATCCCAGCACTAGGGAAGCAGAGGCATGTCAATCAGTGTGGTTTTGAAGCCAGCCCTGTCTATATAGTGAGTTACAAGCTAGTCAGGGCTACATAGTGAGACCCTGTCTCAAAACAACAACAACAACAAAAACCCAAACCAAAACAAAAAAGCCATCACAGGCCCTAAAATGAGGTTTTAAGAAAAGTACTTTGGGTCCACTGAGATGGCTCTGC